GGGATACGCTGTCATAAAGAAATGCTAACCTCAGCGTCCTGTCAGAGAGGGAGAGAGAGAGAAAGAACAGAGGAGACAAAGGGACAGAGAGATATAGTCTGACAGGTTTTTGGGGTTATTGGCAAACAGCAGATTACTTCCTCCAGCATCTAACTGAATTGACTTTGGCTGTTGAGGTAATTCAGAGACGTTCTTCTAGTTAAACAGGATGTTTTTCATACAATGAGGGTATGCTTACACAACAACAGTTGTACTAAAATCTGATTTTTTTCTTTTTCATTTTTGAAAAGTTTCATGTACAGACAACAACGTCAAAATGATCCCCATTCACTTGCTGCATTATTCATGCCAGGCCAGTAGTTGGCGATGTCAAACACATACCTATAAACTGAACATGTAATACACATGCGCATGACTTCACTGTTTTCACAAATTTGTGCTTTTACAGTTTACATGGAGATGATAACAGTATTGCTTTCAAAAACGTGCACTTTGAAACTTTTCAAAAGTTTTCAGGCCCCCAAAACGCCATTGTCATGTAAATGAATAGCCAATGAATAGACAGTTTTTAGTTGAAATCAGTAAATGCCCCCGTAGTTATTTTTTTTTCTCCCTGAACTCCACTTAAGTCAACGTTTCTTGAACCAAAAACAACAGTTTAATTTTAGATGATGCGTTCAGTTCAGGTCTATAATTGCTTTCAATACAGGCTCAATTTATACGCATAGATACAGTTGTAAAATTAAGACACTTTAGGGTGTAAACTGTATTTGAAATCTAAATTAAATATAATAATTTGCTATTATGTGCTTTAAGTACCAGAAACTGTCTGCAGATATTAAAAGTCTAGTGACATCGTCAACATTTTAAAAAATGTTTTCGAAATAAGTCTCTTTTGTTCAACAAGGCTACATTTATTTGATCAATGGTAATGCAAAACTGAATTTTCAGCATCATTACTCCAGTCTTCACCTGATCCTTCAGAAATCATTCTAATATGCTGATTTTGAAACATTTCTAATTATTATTAATGTTAAAAACAGTTGTGCTGCTTAATATTTTTCTGGAAAATATGATGGATTTTCTTCAGGATTCTTTGATAAATACAAAGTTCAAAAGAACAGCAGTTATTTGAAATAGAAATCTTTTGGTTGTTTTTGCTACTGTACCTTTAATTAAGGAATAGTTAAGTAAGGAGTCAATTATTCCGCTTATGCTATGGTTAGCACACATCTAGACATTGTTCAGATTTGTAATTTTGTGGCAAAACATGGAACTAATCTGTCATTTTCATTGTATTGTTTATTATCTATTTGTTTGGGCAGTGTCGTTGTGGGTTTTGGTACTTTTGCTGTTGTAGGCTGTAAGGATCTTTGAAATAACTGAAATCGTTTGGCGAAGTGATATGGACATGTAATGCGGTCAAGACCTGCCTGGAACTACTTTAGTTGTGTGTTCCCCTGAAAATAATTGCACACCTTAGAATGCTCATCAACCAGTCAGATTCAGATGTTCAACAGCCCCATAGTATAATTAGCTATAATTGGCTAACTTCTTGCCAAGTCTATTTTAAAAGAGTCTGGAAAATCCATCATTTGTATCCTTTAAGTTACTGACATTTTCCCCCAGTATATTTCTCTCAGATTGTGTGCATGTAGCTCTGGTTTCTGACCGTTTCTGAACAGCTCGGCCGCAGGTGATTTTGACTGTGTGCATGTATAAGCGTACCACAATTACCTTCACCATTCACACGAGCAATCTTCTGCCTTCAGACAGCTGTTCCAGAGCTCAGGGTGTTCTGGAAGGTTTTATCTACTAATTGGGCGTGTTGTTATTGACTTCTGCACTCCTCTGGTACTGTCAGATTTTGGTGAACAAGCTCTCTGTGGGGAAAAGCAGTAGAGGGAAAATTGTGCGCCGCAAATTGGATGGTTTGGATCTGGAACGCTCACCTGCAAGGTTTTAAGCCATTTGGAGATTCTCCTGCAGTTCCATCCCACAGCGGAGAGGAGAGATTTACTTAAAGCTCATAATTCTCTTTGATGTTCTAGTATTCGCAGAAACGAATGTCACAGAATTTACCAAACGGTGTTGATAGTAAACATACACACCCCAAACCCCACAAGAGCTTGTTTTTTGGAAGCAGTTTAGAAAACTTCATAAATAGGCTATGTGTTCACCAGTAAATGTGGAAAACGCTCTTGCAAACACTGTTTTGCACGGAAGCTTGTTTCTGCCAGAGAATAAAAAAATGTAAAAAGGTAATTGCGACTTTTTATCTCACAATTCTGACTTTTATTTTTTTCTCCAAATTCTGAGCTTACATCTCGCAATTGTGACTTTTTTTTCTCTGAATTCAGGTTTTTTTTCCTCAGAATTCTCAGTTTAAATCTTGCAATTATTATATAATATTATATATTATATATATATATTTTTTTTTTGCCTTGGAATAAAAATGTAAAAAGTAATGTTTTTTTGCAACTTTTTAATCTCAATAATTTTGAGATTTAAATCTCAACAATAATTTTGATTTTACATCTCACATTTCTGTTTTTTCATCCACCAAGTAATAAACTGAATAGGTAATTCTGACTTTTTTCCCTCAAGAATTCTGACTTTTTTTTCCCACAATTGCGAGTTTCCCTGAAATTTGATTTTACATCTCGCAATTCCGTTTTTTTCCACCATGGAATAAAAAATTAAAAATGTACTTGCGACTTTTTGATCTCACAATTCTGACTTTTTTCTCGCAATTGTGAGTTTATATCTAACAATTCTGACTTTTTTTTTATCAAATTGTGAGGGAAAAAGTCAGAATTGTGAGAGACAGTACCATACAAATAATGTATGTATTTTTACATTTTTTAAATACAGGTTCCTGGATTTATTTTGAAAGATCCATCAGTCCATATTATTCCAAAGACAAATATATATAACTTAAGATTTAATAATCAAAACAACTTGCTCCACCTCTGAAATATATAATATATAAATAAATAAATAAATAATGTTTAATTAAATAATTATTTAATTAAAAAATGTTGTAAGGTCCTTTTTAAAAGTGGACCTTTATATTTGCATTTTTAAAAAGCAAAATTCTCCATAAAACAGTGCAATTAAAATGTTTTAAAGAGAATGAATGGAACTTATAAAACATATAAAAAATAGTCTTTAGATTGATCTATTTTTAGATAAATATCTATTTGTCTATTTAATTATTATCTATTAATTATTATCTATAAATATTTATCTATTTATAGTTTTTAAATAGATTTTTGGACAACTAGTTGATTAGATCATAACCCATGCATACTGCCAGTGCATGCATACAGACACTTTGTTCCCTCAGCATATCTGCATTTAGCCGACCTCTTTCAGTAAACAGCAGATTTGTGGATGAAATTAGCATCTCATTTGCATAACAGCGACTGTCTTTAAGAAACCAGATTAACTGCATGACATCAGAGGAAGCACAGGAGACACGCATAACAGCAGACTTTGCTCTCCAATGAAAAGCCGTGCTAAATGAAAATCTCACCCTGCTTTTAAAATAAAGCAGCATCATCTGTGCATCTGACGGGTGGGCTGATGTAATCCTTTGCCATGTTTCTGTCTCACAGTTCCTGTTAAATTGCTCTTTTGCTTTCCCACACACACTGCCCAGTGTGAATGTGTTTGCATATGGAATTTACATTTTAATTGAATTGAATATGCATGGCATAATTACTGTGTGCAGTTTATTAATTTAGCTTATTTATTTATTTATTTACAACCTCAGTGACCTGAACGTGATATTTCAAAGGTCTAAAAAGGTCAACATCTTCTAATTGTAAATAATTTTTTACATTTTTTATTTAATCAAAAATATCTAATTTTATATACTTTATTTATTTATTTATTTGAAAAAATATATATTTTTAGTTCCTCTACCTCAGCTGGTGTAGCAAAAGTGTGCAAATGTGTAAATGTTTATTTTTTTCAACCTCTTACGTTAACAGGAAGAAGAACTGCGAAAGAGCGGAGAGACAAAGTATCATCATCTCAACGAAGATCTTCACGTGCTGATCGAGGTGTTCGCGCCGCCCGCTGAAGCGTATGCGAGAATGGGTCATGCTCTGGAGGAGATCAAAAAATTCCTTATTCCGGTACGTCTGTTTGTACGGGTTTGTACATCTTCTAAACACAAACTGAGCATCAGCATCAGCTTTCATGTTCTGATTGCAGCGTTTATTACCCTCAGACCAAAAATACACATTCACTGGTTTAAAATTTTTATTTGTAGTAGTCACATTTTATCCCAGGAGCCCTTACACTGAATAAATAAACTGGTGTAGCAACAATTTTTGGTCACACTTCATTTTCAGAATCAGAATCAGAATCAGAATGAGCTTTATTGCCAGGTATGTTTACACATACGAGGAATTTGTTTTCGTGACAGAAGCTTCCACAGTGTAACAGAATGACAGTGACAGAACAAAAAACACAGATAATAAAAAATAAAAATAAATAAAAAATAGAACAAGTAAAATAAGGAATAAAAAAATATACAAATCGACAATTGTATGTACAGGTATAGAACAATAGACAGTTGCATGTACAGGTGTATTATGTGCAAATTGAAATGTAGACTGAGGTATTTTGGCAGTTCACGGGAGAGATTGGCTTTATTAAAGTTCTCGAGAATGATTAAAACAGAGTCCGGGTGTTGTTGTTCTGTCTCTGTGATCTGATCAGCGAGTTTCTGTAAAGCGGAGCTCGCGTGCGCTTGCGGAGGAATGTAAATACTGACGAGAATGAATGAGCAAAACTCATTCATTTTGGGGGTCAATTCTCACTATCAACTAATTATTAACTATGACTATTTCCTCAATAAACTCCTAATTTGCTGCTTATTAATCGTTAGTGAGGTAGTTGTTAAGTTTAGGAGGTGGATTAAGGGATCTAAAATATGTTCATGTAGAATAAGGCATTAATATGTGCTTTAAGTACTAATAAACAGCCAATATGCTAGTAATATGGATGCAAATAATCAACTAATTCATAGTGCGAATTGGTCCCTAAACTAAAGTTTTACCCAATTTTCACTCAGAAAGTTCTAGTAAATTTCATGAACAATTAAAATATTACCTTCAGGCCAAAATACATATTATTTTTTTTATATTTACAAGTAAAGTTTTGTCCAAGGGGTTCACAGTACACAGAAAAAAATTAATTGGTTTAGAACTATTTTCACTTAGAAATGTCTAGTAAATTTCACAAACAGTTACAAAGAAACAGGGCTAATATAGTTAATTAAAACTAAAATTAAAAACCATAAAAAAACTTGAAATAAAATAAACTTAAACTGAAATAAAATAAAATGTAATGAAATAAAAAACTTTTTTTATATTGTAAAAAAAAAAAACTTTTTATACCTTTTATATTTAAGGAAACATTTAAAATTTTCATTTAGTTTAGCTTGATACTAAAATAGAACTAAAATAATTAAAAATAAATAAAAATAAAAATTAATAAAATCTATATATATATATATATATATATATTAAAAATGACAAAAACATAACAAAACTTACTAAACGTACTTAACCTCTTAAAATGTAAGCTGAAATAAAAAAAGCAGAACATATAAAAATAAAAAACGAATTCAAAATATTAATAAAAGCCCTGTTAGTATCTCAAAGATACTAAAATAAAACTGCAAATAAATAACATGTTGAATTATTTGTAAAATCTTTGAAGTAGAAAAACTGAAGTAGTATTTTTTTAATAAAACATACTCCAATAATCTTTATTGATTAAAATAAATTTTTACAGTGTATGGTGGATACAATCAAGTCCTTCTTTGTCAAATATCCTTTAGTTACAAATATGTTATATTGGAGAAGTTAAGTGCTTTTCAAATATATTCAATTCTCTGGATCTTCTCTATCAAACACTATGCATATTTTCACATTAGATCTCAGTATTGACTTTATGTATATAATATCTCACAGTCACATCTGTTATGCTAATGAAAAGCTAGATTAAATGTTACTATTTATATACAGAATGGTTCCTCTTGGGGAAAAACACATGTTGGTGCGTGTTTGGGGTTGCAGGGGGCATACATATTTCCCCTTGAAAAACAAGTGGACCATTATTGCGTGTTACAGCTCATTAACTGTGTGTGTCATACAGGACTATAATGATGAGATCAGACAGGCTCAGCTACAGGAGCTGACGTATCTGAACGGCGCCTCGGAGGATGCCAAAGTCCCAGCGGCCAGAGGCAAAAGCAGCACACGAGGCAGAGGAATGCCAGCGCCGGGACCGCACAGGTGCAACAGCGTGCCATTCTACTCTGATCACATTTAGAGCGTAAACTTGAAAACTTCAAAACGGCAGGAAAACATGTTAACAAGACAAATTAACTCACCTTTTCTGCTCGTAGAATTTTTTTCTGCTGTTTAATGAGAAAAGCATTTTAAACTCCACTGAGAGTTTAATGCGGTATAACTGGCAGATTTATTCTCACATGGACTGACGGTAATGTCATTTCCTCAAACCAATCTCATTTTCATCTTAGTCGGAGAGGAAAATTCAATCAAACCATCAAAGTAATCTTCCATTGGAGGATGGAATATAATCAACGGGCGTATTGTTATTTAGTAAATGATGGCCAGAAACTAGACTAGATCTGTCTGTCTGTCAGTCAGTTGAAAGATGCATAATAAATGTAAAAGCTTTATTTTCAATGTTGAAAACAGTTGTGCTGCTTAATTTTTATTTTATTTTTTTTGTGGAAAATGTTATACATCTTTTTCAGCATTCTTTTTTTCAGGATTTTACTTTGAAACAATGTAAAATAATGTCAATTTTGTTACATTTAATGCATCTTTGAAAAATCAAGTATTGATTTTTTTAAATTAATTAATTAATTAACTATACAAATAAATAAACTATAGTAAATGTTTGGACACATTTCTGTTTTACTATACTATTTTCCATATCTTAGATTAATATTAAAGTCATCAAAACTGTGGAATTATTGGAATTACATGAGGACCAACAAATAGATAAATATATTATATCTTATATTTTAGATCTGTCTTAGTTGTATGAAGAAATGTAAATGTTCACTGAAAAGAAAATGGGTGCAGAAACAATTTTCACTCAAAAATGGCTAATAAATTTCACAAAAAATTACAAAGAAACAGCAAGTAGCGCATTGAATTTCATGTAAAATTGTGAAGTAGAAAAACTAAAATAGTATTTTCCTGAAAAAAAAAAAAAACATACTCAGTTTTATTTACAACTTCAAAAAATATTTTTTTATAGTGTAGGCACAATTTATATTTGTCTACAAAAGTAATGTAAAGCATATATAGTATATTTGGGTAAAAAGGTGTGACATCACTAATTCAGTCCATTCATGTCCAAACATTTCACTTACAGTGTATATGTATTTTTTACACTACTAAAATTCACTGTGTTCATTTTTTTTTTTTAAATGAAGAATTCTTGCTTCAGGCGTAATGTTTAGTTAATTATATTTATGTAATTGAAATGTGTCCTGCAGGTGTAGAGGGGGCGTTCCTCCTCCTCAGGCTGCAGTCCCGCGGGGGGTGGCGCCCAGAGGAGCTCCGCCCAGCAGGGTGCCGTCCAGCAGAGTAAGGGGCGTTCCCTCTCAGAGAGCACGAGGAGCTCCGCCCCCACCTGGGTACAGACCTCCCCCTCCAGTGGTGCAGGATTCATTTTTTTCAGTGTCTTTTGAACCTTTTTGATTCGGTTTCTGCATTAGTTAACTACTTTTATTATTTCTGACCCTAAACTGTTCTCTGTAAATATCTTGACTTAAAAAAATCTCTAATATTATGAATCTTAAAAGTAATTTCTTTGGTGTTTTATTATTTTCACAGTTTGGCGCCACTAAGGGTGCAGAAGCAACACAATTTGTATTGATTAAGCGAGACACTTACTCTGTTTGAGCTTTTACAGTAATGTCAGTACCTTTCTAGACAGAAAGAGTGATCTATGACAGTGTTTCCCAACCGGGGTGCCGTCTGTCGAGAGCAGGGGTGCCGTGTAAAAAATAATTTTTTAATATTTTTAAATTGCTAAAATGTTCAAAAAAGCACAGACCTCCCCCTCCAGTGGTGCAGGATACCTATGGTGAATATGTAAGTAACTGTAACATCCATTGCTGTAGCGGCCTTTCTTTTTAGGGACTATAAGAAAGAATATTTATAGTATGCAAGGACAGAATTAACGAAGCTCAAATCTAAGTATACAGCCAATGGTGGCATTCAAGTATGCTTTTAAAGAAATATTGCTCACAGCAACTTTTGCTATGCTAGATGGTTTTCGAAAGTTAATTCATTAAAACCTAATTGTGTACTTTACCATCACCAGTGCAGATCTACGCACTTAGAGATTCAACCATAGTCTTTGGCAGTGTTATTTTAGTATTATTTAAATACTTTATATCATTTAATAATATTTGTAATTAGTTTTTAATTTTGATCTGTTGTTTTATTTATTTATCTATTTAAATTTTTAACATGTCTATTTAGCTTAATTTTTATTACAGTTTAGTTTTAGTAATAAAAAATGATAAATGTTGATTTGGCAACTAACTGAAAATAAGTACGTTTTTCATCTGATATTTGTTTTATTTTATTTCAGTTTCATTTCAATTGATGATTTTTTAAAATAGTTTTAGTTAACAATAACACCACCGCAAGGTGTGGTAAATGGGCAACTCTGGTAATGCTGTCCTCTCATTCATTGATCTGCTAACCGCTATGTTATGCTCATGTGTCCTCTGATGATAATAGCTTTCTAGGATTAAACATTATTTGGATAATTGGTAAAAAAAATTTTTTTAAATCTCTTAATAGCCCTACTGTGTGTTAGACCTACCTGAAAAACTAAAAAGCAATTTATTTCATTTGTAGGCCTATCATTATTTTTTTATTTGTGCTATCATTAGTAATTCCTTTATTTGTTCTTATCTTATTATTAACTGCTTAGCCTCCTTGTAATTTTTTATTCAATTCAAAGTTTTAAATCAAGCTATCTCGTGCTACTGCAACAAAATTACCCAACTGTAAAATCAAAAATACACTGAGTGAGCAAAACTTTGTTTAATTACCATTATAACTAGCTATCTCACAATGTTTGCATATTATTAAAAGCTTACATTAAAATCTGTCATATAAATTGGTCTTTTCATTAGAAATTAGCCTACTGATTGCCACCATTGATGGACAACATTTTTTTATAATATTAAAAATATCTGTATGACAGTATATTCTGCAGTTCTTCCCTGTTGTACCGAATATCTATACTTTTCAAATTATCATATCGAAGTTAGAAATTCAAATATTGTGACAAAATTAATTTTGTAGGGTGCCACAAATTTGTTAAAATTTCCAAAGGGTGCCGCGACTAAAGAAAGGTTGGAAAACACTGATCTGTGATATATGTCTATAATAGCCAGTGTTTTATTGTTGACATTTCTCATATCGATAAATTATATAAAACAAACTTAATAGCTTGCCAAGACTCTCGCAGAAATTAATGTTTTCTGACGCTGATCTTATTTGTCAGTTGTTACAGAAGAGTACATGGTGCGGCCGTCTATCGGAGACTTCCTAAATCATTTCATCTGCTTAATTTACTTGTTTTTGTTTGCGATTATGTGGAAAAATGGTCTTGGTTGCTTGCCTGCTTCTGACACTGTTATAGATTTGCTTTGAGTTTTAATTTATCAGACAGAGTTGCAAAGCAACTACTTCAAATACATTGAGCTTTATTTGAATGTTCGCCAACCCCTCTCGATGTTGTGCGTATCTGAGGTCTTTTGGCTCGCTTGTGGCATGTTTAACAGATGGCAGGCCCAGAGAGGTGGGTGGAGTTGGCACACTGCCCCACAGTGCCCATATCTAACCACATCTGACAGGTTTATTTTGGGGGCGCTGTTCGAATGCGCTGGGGTGAGAGGAAACGACTCAGTCGCCAGCTGTTCCCTATCATTTCCACGGTCTGGAAACACCCATCTGTGCAGGAGCCTGAAACACTGGGAATGATTCGAACATCTGTGGGATGATAAATGTGAAGCTGTCACTGTGAATCAGTGTTTAGATGTTCCTCGTCAACAGAAAGATCTTCTGACTGTCCTGAGAGCCAAAGAGTTGCGACAAGTCATGGGAAATTAATGAGATCATTGTGGAGGAATAGTGAAAATGGATAAATGAAAATGCTGTCGTTATTTACTCACCTGCATCCACTCTCAGTGTCTGGATTTATAAGAATCAACTAATCACATTTGCTTTCCCAAACACTCTAGCAAGAAAAGATATCAAACCACTACATGATTAATATATCTGACCCAAACATGGCCACATAGCTCTCTCAGAGAATCAGAGTGAACACGTGTCTTATGTGATTTGAAAACATCTTGATCCGATTACCACAAATCAATAAGGCAAAATACATTTTAAAGGTACCGAATCTGATTTCAAGCGTGTTTGGGGGCATAGAGGGTGGATCTGCTTGCTCTAGTGTAAGTCATTAATATGAAGTAATTGCATCGGTCATTTGTCTCTCTCGAGGGCAGCTCTGATACCTGACTCACTCTCTGCGGAGGGTTGCAATAATAGCATTACGGCATGTATTATCCCAGTCTGTATCTCAGAACCTCTGTTTCCACAATCAAAACCGCTTGTCACTTCGGTTTAGCCTCATAATTACCGAGCTGGTTGCAGATGCTATATCTCTCCTTTGGTCGAGTGCTGAAATGACTTCCATTGTCACCAGTGTTGTGTTATGAATGCCACGTCCAGTGTGATGTTTCTCAAACCAACACAAATCACGGGTTTGTGTTCTCAATAGGGCTGTACAGCGAGACATATTGTTTTGCTTTAGGCTCTTCCGCTGAGGCGTTTCATTCTGTCCACACCGCTTTTTATCATGCTGAAGTACTTTAGCGACATGCAGACCTGTGTGAGAGTTGTTACTGAGTAAGTGCCGACACTTCTGTAAGGAATTTTAACTCAGTTGTAAGGGAATTAATTATTATTAATTCATTCAGGTTTATTTCTAGCTCAGATTTTAAAAGAACTCGATCTGAGAATTCGAGGTTCACCTGATCAAAACTGATTTTGACTTTAAATGGTTTACACTTTAAATCAAGGGTCGTCCAGCGAGCCGGCCGTTCTCAGTATATTTTAACAAATTAAATATGTGTTTTCCTGGCCACGGTTAACACACTTATGATAATTTGTCAGCTCTTAAAAGAGAGAGGTAACGTTGATCTCGGCAAAGTTTTAACCTTGAAATTATATGACACCAGACAATTGATTATTTATAAATGAAACATGAAATTTATTGGCTATTCTAGATTACATCAAACTAAGCTAAAACACACATACACACAAACATACAGTTTCAGAGGAAGAAAAATTATGTTAACGGAGTTCTGAGTTTCATAGTTCTACCTCGTTTTCACGAGTGATGTAAATTCACCTTAAGAATTTACAAAGCAGAGAACGTGCGATTCTGTGCAGGACTCTGTCTAAGTATTAGACCTCTTTGTTCTTTGGTCCATTAGATGTTTTATTGATGCTGAAACCAGTCACGAAACCTACTGACCTTCTGTAGCTTAAACGGATCCAGATGGGAGGGGTCAGTTCTTGTTGTCTTAGTATTGTGTCGACATGGAGGTGGCCTGGCAAATCATTAGCTCCGTGTTTTCTTTGTAAAGATAAGCAGAGCGAGACAGGAACTCATTGGAGAAAGTTGCCGCCTGGCTGGCCTGGTTCAGTTTTTTACGACTCTCATATAATGGTGTGATGTTCAGGAAATGCCTTACACTTCAAAACATATTTCTGAGCCTCGGGTCTTCAACTTTAAATGTCTCTGTTTTTAGGGACCGTTTGACACTTTTTGTTGAAAGTATAATACACTGCAAAAAAAGGGGGATAGAATTAGAATGAGTACAACAATAGAAACAATTGCTTGTGAATTTTACTAATAATTACAAAGAATTGGCAAGTAATGCATTTAATTAAAAATTTAATTTTGAAGTAGAAAGACTGAAATACTAATGCATTTACAGTATGTATATAATGTGTAAGAATATTCACATTTCATAGCTGTATCAATAATGTTTTGTCATGCATATGCTTTTTATTAAGCAGGAATTTTATTTGATTGAAAAAAAAATCTGATTATAAATGTGAATTGATCAAAATAATTTGGAAAATAATATTTATTATTCCATGGTCTGTCTGAATACTGGATTCTGATTGGCTGGCAGGTGTGCAGTAAAATGTCTCCAGGTTACGCATGTAACCATGGTTCCCTGAATAGAACGAGATGCTGCATCGAAACGCTACGGGAACGCCTTCAGCGTGACCACGCTCTGAATCACATTTGTAATCAGTCCAATGGATGGGCGAGACATCACAGGCGGGCTGACGTAATGACCAGTAAGCATAAAAGCACGTGTGGTGGAACCGGCGTCAGCTTCAACAATATAGCAAGTGCTGACAGGGATGCCGGAAGTATGGCCCTGAGACGCAGCGTCTCGTTACCTTCAGGGAACCATGGTTACATGCGTAACCTGGAGACGTTCCCCTTCAGGAACTCGAGCTGCGTCGAACGAGAATGCCCATGCCGCCAGACTTACAAATCCCTGCCTAGTGTGGAAGAGCTCAGCTAAAGCGAGAGAACGAAGCCAGGAGTGGCACAGAAAGCAGATAGGCACCTGACAAAGTAG